AGCAGATGAGACCATTATGTTCATAAATGCTGGGGGAGATGGTTCACAGGTATTAGATTCTGATTTGAATATCCTCAGAGACATCTATTTCCAAGGAGGGGATGTTCTGAGAACAGATGAGTCTATAGTTGAACCTGGAGACTATCCATTCATTTACCAATCAGCACGTGTAGGGAACTTTTGCTACCAGTTAAAGGATCTTGTTCCTGGAGAATACTTTATCGATTTCCATTTCGCTGAGATTATTAATACCAATGGACCTAAAGGGATAAGGGTGTTCAATGTCTATGTTCAAGATGACAAGGCAAGTAGTCCAACTGAAGATAGTATTTTTTTTTCATCTAGTTATGAATAAGTGTCTGCCTAAATGCTGAAACAAGTGTTTTTTTTTTTTTGTTATGTTCAGGTCTTAGCTGAATTCGATATCTTCTCGGTGGTTGGCGCAAATAGGCCACTCTTGTTGGTTGACTTAAGGGTCGTGGTAATGGATGATGGACTGATTAGAGTAAGGTTCGAAGGAATTAATGGAAGTCCAGTGGTTTGTGGGATTTCTCTGAGGAAAGCACCACAGGTTTCAGGTAATCTTCTCTTGAGCTTGGTTTCATGTAAGATTTTATCCTATTAAGGGAATCTCAAAGTTTTCAGTTTCTAACTCATTCACTGCATATTACTGTACAGTTCCAAGGACATCACACGATTATATTAAGTGTGAGAATTGTGCTGCCGAAATAGAGATTTCTCCAACTCAGGTACTGTTTGACTAGCCTGCAGGCTCTTATTTCCCAAAAGTATAAGCGTAATGGATTACCTGAGTTTCTTTTTTTATGTTGTTATTTGAGCAGAAGAGGCTTATGCGAGCCAAAGCTCATGAAAAATATGAGAAGAAGATAGAAGAACTTTCTGAACGATACCAACATAAGACAAATGAGTGCCACGAAGCATGGATGTCACTGACCTCTGCCAATGAGCAACTAGAGAAAGTGAGGATGGAACTGGACAATACGATGTTCAAGGCGCGCTCTCTAGGTAATGCACAATCTGCCATATGACATATTGCCAATCCAGGTTTTCTTGCTTCTAATTTGGTGCTTACTTGAAACAGACCTAACCGTGCTAACGCAAGCTGATTGTTTGAAGAGTGTCACTAGCAAGTATGAGAATGACAAGAGACGTTGGGCCACTGCAATTGTTACTCTACAGGAGAAAATAGAGGTAGCTGGGTATTTCCGCAAGTACTGTTGTATCAGAGCCTCTCTGCAATTTACATGTTCTTCAACGATTTTTCTTTTTGAATTTATGAAACTGTTGCTATGCAGATAATGAAAAGGGAACAATTTCAGCTATCACATGAAGCACATGAATGTGTGGAATCGATTCCCGAATTGTACAAAATGGTTGATGGGGTTCAGGCACTTGGTGAGTTTACCTCCCACTCATTTAGTTATGAACATGGGATGATAGGATTTAAAGGGAAAACTCGATGAACTAATTCTATATCAACTCGTGAAAACAGTTTCACAGTGTGAGGATCTCAAGCAGAAGTACAGCGAAGAGCAAGCAAAGCGAAAGGAGCTATATAACTATATCCAAGAGACTAAAGGCAAGTACATCTCTTTTCATGGTGATTTGCTTTAGCTTCTTTGCATCACTCCAAAAATTTACTGACAACATCCCTTATATCAGGCAATATTAGGGTCTTTTGTCGCTGCCGCCCTTTGAATAAGGAGGAAACGTCAACTAGGTGTGCCACAAGTCCCACAACTGTTGACTTTGATGGAGCAAAAGATGGAGAGCTTGGTGTCATTACAGGAAATAATTCCAAGAAAAGTTTCAAGTTTGACAGAGTTTATACACCGAAAGATGGTCAAGGTAGTGTTGTATGCTATGGTCAAGTTAGTCCATTAAGTATAAATAACATTGATTACTGACGAAGTTTCCTCCTTGCTTTTGCAGTTGATGTTTTTGCAGACGCTTCTCCTATGGTTGTTTCAGTGCTAGACGGATACAATGTGTGTATTTTTGCATATGGGCAAACAGGAACAGGAAAGACGTTTACAATGGAAGGTACACCACAGAACAGGGGTGTCAACTACAGAACTGTCGAGCAATTATTCGAAGTTGCTAGAGAAAGGAGAGAGACGATTTCTTATGATATATCGGTTAGTGTCCTTGAGGTCTACAATGAACAGATAAGAGACTTGTTGGCAACATCACCAGCATCAAAGAAGTAAGAAACTCTACTGTAATTACATCTTGAGCACATAGGGATTGAAACAGGGATTTTCCATAGAGCTGATCTAAATCTATATGGATTTTGCTACTAAGGTTGGAGATAAAACAATCCTCTGAGGGGTACCATCATATTCCTGGATTAGTAGAAGCAAAAGTGGAAAATATAAATGAAGTTTGGAATGTGCTTCAAGCTGGGAGCAATGCTAGATCTGTTGGATCCAATAATGTGAATGAGCATAGCAGCCGCTCTCACTGGTATCTTGAGATACATGCCTCTCATACTGTGTTGTTTGAATGTTTGGCTTTCCCAAATTTTATGTTACATTATGACGGTTGTTTAATATGTTAAATTCTCTTTGCAGCATGCTCTCTATAATGGTAAAAGCAAAGAACTTGATGAATGGGGATTGCACAAAAAGCAAACTTTGGCTTGTAGATTTAGCTGGAAGTGAGAGGTTGGCAAAGACTGACGTGCAAGGTGAGCGTCTGAAGGAAGCACAGAACATAAATAGGTCACTATCAGCTCTCGGGGACGTGATTTATGCATTGGCTACGAAGAGTAGTCACATTCCATACAGGTTAGTCTAATTCTTTGCATAATTCTCTCATTCTCTCCATCTCTGTGGGGAGCTTTTATACCTTTTAACACTTTCCAATTATTAAACATCAGGAACTCAAAACTAACACATCTGCTTCAAGATTCATTGGGTAAGAATCTTCATTACCTTTTCTTAAGTATGAATCAATCCGTGATTACACTGTGCTTTTTGGTAACCTGGTGGTGTATGTGCGAATGATGCAGGAGGTGACTCAAAGACACTGATGTTTGTGCAAATCAGTCCCTCTGAGCATGATGTGAGTGAGACTCTAAGTTCACTTAACTTTGCAACTCGTGTAAGAGGGGTTGAGTTGGGTCCTGCGAAGAAGCAAGTTGATACCGGTGAGATTCAGAAGATGAAAGCAATGGTATGACTTCTGCAAGTTTTTTTTCTTTCTTTTGTTCTTCCTGGATTGTCTTTTTGGACTGTGTCACAGCTTTTTCTTATTGCTTGATGCATCAATTTTAAAAGGTTGAAAAAGCAAGGCAAGAGAGCCGATCTAAAGATGAATCAATAAAGAAACTGGAAGAGAACATACAGAACCTGGAAGGTAAGAATAAAGGAAGAGACCACTCATACAGAAGTCTCCAGGAAAAGACTAAAGAACTTGAAAGCCAGCTTGATTCACTACATAACCAATCAGAAAAACAAAACGCACAGCTTCTAGAAAAACTAAAGAGCAGAGATGAAACTTGTGCCAATCTCCAGCAGAAGGTCAAGGAGCTAGAGTGTAAGCTCAGGGAGAGACACCAATCAGACTCTGCAGCTTACCACCAGAAGGTTTCCTGAGATCAACTATTGATCGTTACATAAATCTTATAATGTTTTGTTGAGAGTTACAAAACACTTAAATGATGC